AAAATTATTAGAAAATAGAAAATTTCACTCTAACTGATTAAAATAAAAATACATATTGTTTGAAGCCTAAAAAAATTAGCGGTGCTGATTTTAGACTTTTCTATGATTTATTATTAATTGTTTGAAATTTTTCGTAAAATAAACAAATTGTAAAAAATTAGAAATTATTAAAAAAATAAAAAATTACAATCTAACTAATTAAAATAAAAATAAGTATTGTCTGAAGTCTAAAAAAATCAGTGGCATTGATTTCAGACTCTCCTATGATTTATTATTAATTTTTGGAATTCTTTTCTAAAATTAAAAAAAATGAGATTATCAAAAAATTAAAAATTACACAAAAATTATTAAAAAATATAAATTACAATTTAACTAATTGGAATAAAATTACAAATTGTTTGGAGTCTAAAAAAAATAGCGGCGCTAAATTTGTACACTCCTATGATGTATTATTAATTTTTTGAATTTTTTTCTAAAATAAAAAAAATATGATTTTAAGGGCATAAACGATGGAATTCGGCGCAAAATTGATAGAGCTCATCACATAGCAATGAGTCTTGATCGTTGGCCCAATCCGAATCAAATTTCACTGCTCTCAATCCATTTTAATTCCAAGCCATTTCAGCCACATATTGTACATCGTCCTCAATTTTTGAAAAATTATCAAAAAAATTAAATATTATTAAAACATAAAAAAATTACAATATAATTGAATAAAATAAAAGTAGAGATTGTTTAGAGTCTAAAAAAATTAATGGCGTTGAATTCGGATTCTCCTATGATTTATTATTAATTTTTTAAATTTTTTCTTAAAGTGAAGAAATTGGGATTATCAAAAAATTAAAAATTACACAAAAATTATTAAAAAATAAAAAATTACAATCTAACTAATTAAAATAAAAGTACATATTATCTGGAATCTAAAAAAATTAGTGGCACTAAATACGAACTCTCCTATGATTTATTATTAATTTTTTATTTTTTTTCCCAAAAAAAAAATAATAACTCAACTTTGAGGGTCTCAAGGATGAAATTCACCGCAAAACCGACGGAGCTCATTGCATTGCTATGAGTCTTGATAGTTGGCCCAATTCGGATCAAATTTCACTGGTTTCAATTCATTCTAAGTTCAGGTCATTTCAGCGACATATTGTACATCATCCTCAATTATTCAAAAATTATCAAAAAAAAATAAAAATTGCAATCTGATTGATTAAAATAAAAGTAAATATTGTCTAGAGTCTAAAAAAATTAGGAGCGCTGAATTCAGATTCTCCTATGATTTATTATTGATATTTTAATTTTTTTCTTAAAATAGAAAAAAAAAAGATTATCAAAATATTAAAAATTACACAAAAATTATTAAAAAAAAATAGAAACTTGCAATTTAACTGATTAAAATAAAAGTACGTATTGTTTGGAGTCTAAAAAAATTAGCAGCATTGAATTCGAACTCTCCTATAATTTATTATTAATTTTTTAAATTCTTTGCTAAAATGAAAAAAAAAACAAAAAAGGATTTTGAGGGCCTAAATGATGGATTGCAACGCAAAATTTGCACAGCTCATCGCATAGCTATGAGTCTTGATCATTGACCTGATCCGAATCAAATTCCACTAGTTTCATTGATTCTAAGTCCAGGCCATTTCAGCTGCCTATTTTATATCATCCTCAATTATTCAAAAATTATCAAAAAAAAATTAAAAATTGTACAAAAATTATTAAGAAATATAAAATTACAATTTAATTGATTAAAATAAAAGTAAAGATTGTCTAAAGTTTAAAAAAAATTGGGGTGCTGAATTTGAACTCTCCAATGATTTATTATTAATTTTTTGAATTTTTTCGTAAAGTTAAAAAAAAAGGGGGAGATTATCAAAAAATAAAAAATTACAAGAAAATTATTAAAAAATATAAAATTATAATCTAACTGATTAAAATAATAGTACGTATTGTTTGACGTTTAAAAAAATTAGCGCCCGCTGAATTTGGATTATTCTAAGATTTATTATTAATTTTTTAAATTTTTTCTAAAATGAACAAAACATGATTTTGATGGCCTAAACATGAATTCGGTGCAAAACTGAAAGAATTCTTAATCATTGACCCAATACGAATCAAATTTCACTAATTTCAATCCATTCCGAGTTCAAACTGTTTTAACCACATATTCCACGTCATCCTTAATTATTCAAAAATTATCAAAAAAAATTTAAAATTAAACCAGAAATTAAATGAAAATTTTTCGTTTCAAACCTCAAATTCTCATTTAATTTTTCGTGTTAGCCCTCAAATTACATTGAACCACGTGGGTAAATATGGGTTTACATGCCGCAGACTTCTCTCACATTACACAATTCCCTTTGATAATAAGAACATACACCCTTTATCTACCACATGACTAGTTTTACAAAAACATTGCTATGCGAGTCCACCCACCCACTTGTTTGGTACCAACACCTGGGGAAAAACAAAATATTTAATTTTTTGTGGAACCATTTTAGGTGACTAATAATTTTGCATCGCCTAAAAAAATTGGAAACTAAAACATCCATTTATTATAGTGATCACTGAAACATGCCCCTCCTACCCAAAGAAAACATATCAAGATACAATCAGATTAGAAATTATGTGTCAAATACGAATAACACAGGTCAAAGTTTTTTCATCGACCAAAAAACCATAAACAAAAAACAAGAGATCAAAAAGAAAAACCCATTGTACTCAACCTTGCCTTTCTATACGACAAAAACCATTTAAAACAGAAACAAAAACAAACTACTCAAAAGTATATTAACACTGAACAATGTAAATACATGAACACATTAGTGAGCAGACATATATCAGATCATAATCCAAATAAAAAAAAAACATCACTAATACAAAGATCAACTTCATGAAGCGGGACAGTGGGCTCAACCTACGGAAGAGATTCAAGCGGTTGCAACGCATACACGTAATGATCACTGGGGCCTATAATACAAAGTTCACCTCCTTCCCACAAATGATAATTTAGGACGCAACAGCTTCCCTTTCAATTAGACAAGACAGGAAGAAGGGGCCGAGGGGTGGGGGGTACAATGTTGAAGCATCAATCATATTCCTGGTAGGTCTTCCTTGAGGTTCCGCTTAGAAACAAAAACCAAAGATTTATTTTCCACAATAGGATTTGCATCAAATTATCAAGAAAATTTCAAGCTACCGTTTACTTCCATTGTCCTTGTTGCTCGTGTGTGGAGTATACTGGCTGGTAGACGATGGTGAATATCCAGGTGCACTTGGTGAATACCCAGCACTTGGACTGAAACAAGCCCATTAAATGTAAAAAGTCAAACTGATATTAAACTCAAACCATCATTACAATAATTAATGAAGATAAAAAATCTATATGAAAAAATTTCCACCCACCTGTATTGTGGTGAACTTGGGCTATAGTCTGGGCTGACACCAGAATTGTAAGGGCTGCAAAAAGGTAATATACAGAGGCAATCATTCCAGTGCATGAGTTCCCTCAAGGACAAATTATTAGCCAATGTAACATAGTAGTAAAGGCATCGTTATATACGGGAGAGAACTCATGCATCATGTGTCCAATTTCATATACAACCAATTCGAAAGCAATCCCAAATTTGTTTCTCTGAAACTATTTGGAACATGGACACCTAAACGTAGCATAAATGGGTCGTGAGTTATCATAAATGGCTATAAGAGTAAGAGTAAGACTAAGGAGCAACAAATTTAAGAAATAGGCCAATCATATAATTCATGTCCCAAAACTTACAATTTGACCATAGAAACAGAAAAGTAAACTGCACCATCATCCTCTCAAGAATGATCAGATCATTGTTGTTTGGAATAAATTGCATGCTATTGCTTGTCCATAACATTTTCCCAGAAAAGGAATAGGAAAATTGAACAANCAACAGAAAAGTAAACTGCACCATCATCCTCTCAAGAATGATCAGATCATTGTTGTTTGGAATAAATGGCATGCTATTGCTTGTCCATAACATTTTCCCAGAAAAGGAATAGGAAAATTGAACAACAATGTGTGCACAAAGGTCGCCAAGAAAAATGAGAATCAATTTACCTGCTAGGACTGTACGTTGGACTTGAAGGTGAGTATGATGGCGATGTTGGTGAATATGAAGGTGATGTCGGGCTACAGAAAATTCAAATTACACAGTGAGCTAAGCCAATTATTGCCTGCTGACTTCGAAAATAAATTTGGCCCAAAAATTACAAATCTAAATGATGATAACTGAATGCTGCACAAAGCGGGGCCAAACTAACCAAACGCAACCAAACACAGCAAGTAATTCAAGTACAGGAGCAAGGACATTATAATTTACCTGTAATTAGGAGACGTTGGACTGTATGGACTGGATGGAGAGAGTCTTGGACTGCTCGGGGAATACGCCAGGGATGGGCTGTATTTTGCTGATGAAGGATTGTAACTTGGAGAAGTGGGGCTGTAACTTGGAGATGTGGGGCTATAGCTGGGAGAAGTAGGACTGTAACCGGGGGAAGTTGGGCTATAGACAGGAGAGGTAGGGCTGTATGATGGAGAAGTAGGGCTGTAAGAAGGCGAGGTTGGACTGTAGGACGGTGAGGTTGGGCTGTAGGATGGTGAAGTAGGGCTGTAGGATGGAGAGGTCGGGCTATAGGATGGTGACGTAGGGCTATATGCGGGAGAAGTAGGGCTGTAAGCAGGAGAAGTGGGGCTGTATGCTGGGGAAGTGGGACTGTAACTTGGGGAAGTGGGACTGTAACTGGGAGATGTCGGGCTGTAACTTGGAGAGGTAGGGCTGTAGCTGGGTGACGTTGGACTATAGCTCGGTGAGGTGGGGGAGTAAGACGGACTTGTAGGGGAATATGTAGGGCTGGTTGGACTATAACCTGGAGAGCTTGGACTATATGTGGGGGAAGTGGGGCTATAGCCTGGTGATGTGGGACTATATCCAGGAGAGGTCGGGCTATAACCAGGAGAGGTTGGGCTGTAACCAGGTGATGAGGGACTGTATCCCGGAGAAGAAGGGCTGTATCCTGGTGAGGATGTGGGAGAGAAGCCCATACCACCAACATAAGGAGAAAATTGTGCATCGGAGATGGGTGATAATCGAAGATTTGGACTGAGCAAGTAATTAGGGGACATCATGCCATCATGATAAGGGGTACCAGAGATAGGTGAACGGGCAGGCGTCATGCCAAAGTCCAGGCCTTCCATGTAACTAGGAAGCTGAATATCAATTGCTTGCTGCAGCATCTGCTCATTTAGATACAAGGCACAGTCACCTGTACCGATAGGGGCAAGTTGACCCAACATAATATTCTCAGTAACACCCCGAAGGTGATCTGTCTCGGCATATACAGCAGCATCAAGAAGAATGTCAACCGTCTCCTCAAATGAGCATCTCATCATTGGTCCTGTGTCGTTCCTGTTAATACCATGACGAGTGATAGCCATCAAGTGACCACGGTAAGTCATAGTGTCACACAAAATAGCCAGGTGCCTGTAATTTACATATGATCCATCAAAAGATATAACCACTCGCAGCTCATCCAATAAGGACCTACGAACTGCCTCAATTCCAAGAACTTCAATCACTTCAATCAAGTGATTGCTTGTCGTTCTCTTAGCATCAACATCTTCATGACACATAACTGCCAAAAGATTCACGCCCTCGGTATCAAGCATCCACTCAACCTCTGGCTTGAATCCTTCATTTTCATCAAATCTGTTGAGTTTACCAGATTTAATGAACACCTTGTTAATATCTGGGATGCCTCGAAGGGCCATTTCTGTCAGCATATTACTTTCAATCTTCTTAAGGAAGACATCATCTTCTGCAGATTCATCCTGCAACTCCCCCTTAGGAGCCTCATCATTCATGATTCGGATACGAAGAATCAATTTTTCAGCATTATCGTCATTAAATATACAAGTTAAATCATCATCAAACTCTAGATTGATCTTCTCAGCAATGTCAGCCATGCTCAATTTTTTATCCACCATCATCTCTCGATTTAGTTCTATACGAAGTAGCCAGGGAGAAATTTTATCAGGGTCAATTTCTTCATCAGGCATTTCATAATAAGACTTGACAAAGTCAACATCCTCTTCTATAATGGTACTCATGGGATCTGGATCATACCATACTTCGGTAGCTTGCGTTACACTGCGTAGTGTAGTGTATTCCAAAGCACATTGAACATTCTTGGCCCTTTCTTTGGTTTTGCTTACTTCGGGCTTCAAGTAGACAGAGAGAGAAGGGGTTTTAATTTTTTTGGCCACATTTATAATTTCCCTCAACCTAGGTACACCAAGAGTGACATTCTTGGCACTCACACCTGCATAGTGGAAGGTGTTCAAAGTCATCTGGGTGGCAGGCTCACCAATGGACTGAGCAGCAACACAACCAATCATTTCTCCGGGCGCTACAAGGGACTGTAGAAAACGTGATTCTATCTCACCAATTACCCACTCAAATGCCTCCCGAGTTAAACTGTATTCTTTCAACACCCTCTTACTTGCAAATGTACTACGTAGAAGAATGTTGAAGAAGAGAGTGGCATTTTTCTGAGCTTCCATGCTCATCAAATCGTCACCAGGGACAACCTTCAGCCTCTCCTGAAGTTTATCAATGGCTTCCACAATCTCCATAGGATGCATATCGGAAGGTCTCCTACAGTCAACCTTAAATGTATTCTGTGCATTCCAAATAAGCCTCTTGAGATTAACAGGCATCGGCCAATTGTTATCACCAGTGGTTGCAATCTCAGTCCCCAGCTGCAATCGGTCGACTTCGAGTTTCTGAACTTCGGCATCAAATACATTGCGAAACTCACGAATAGTTTTAAGATCCTCAACGTGCTCTGGCAACATGTAATTAGGGTTCCAGTCATCATCATCGATCTCATATCTGAACGTCCTGTCGAACTCAGACTTCTTCAATTTAAGGGATTCAACCCTCTGTGACTCAATCCAGACAGCATCCATACCATCTTCCCCATAAAGAAACTGAATGACATCTCCCAGGGAGTTCCTGACTGTACCATCATACTTAACCATAATATCTTCCATAGCTTTCACTAATCGCCTCTGGATATAACCAGTCTCAGAAGTTTTGACTGCAGTATCAATCAAACCTTCTCTACCACCCATGGCATGGAAAAAGAACTCTTGAGGAGTCAACCCTCGAAGATAAGAGTTCTCCACAAAACCACGACTCTCAGGTCCATAGTCATCCTTGGTGAAATGGGGAAGAGTCCGATCTATGAAGCCATAAGGGATTCGCTTACCCTCAACATTTTGCTGTCCCACACAAGCAGTCATCTGTGATATATTAATGAAACTTCCTTTAGACCCTGCTGTAACCATGGCCTTGAGATTGTTACTCTCCGATAAGCTTTTCTGGGCACTACTTCCAGCATCATCACGAGCTTTGTTCAACACCTAGACATGGAAACTGCATTAGGAAAATCATCAGGACAAAGTAAGGCCATCCAGAAAACACTTTACATTCCTGTACCTGATTCACTCTGTTCTCAAATGATTCCATCATAGTTCGTCCAGGCTCCGCCTCTAACTGCTTATCTTGTGCAGCCCTAATAAGTTCTTTCACCTCGTTTTTTGCCTTAGAAATAGTTTCGTTAATTTTTTCCATAGTTGATGCATCTGCAATTGTGTCTCCAATACCGATACTAAAACCATTCTGCAAAAGCCAATAGTTCACAAGCCATTGGGTATGTCCCAAGAACTTGCGAGCAGCGTCAGGGCCAACCTCCTCCCTGAACATGTGAACACAAATNAAACCACGACTCTCAGGTCCATAGTCATCCTTGGTGAAATGGGGAAGAGTCCGATCTATGAAGCCATAAGGGATTCGCTTACCCTCAACATTTTGCTGTCCCACACAAGCAGTCATCTGTGATATATTAATGAAACTTCCTTTAGACCCTGCTGTAACCATGGCCTTGAGATTGTTACTCTCCGATAAGCTTTTCTGGGCACTACTTCCAGCATCATCACGAGCTTTGTTCAACACCTAGACATGGAAACTGCATTAGGAAAATCATCAGGACAAAGTAAGGCCATCCAGAAAACACTTTACATTCCTGTACCTGATTCACTCTGTTCTCAAATGATTCCATCATAGTTCGTCCAGGCTCCGCCTCTAACTGCTTATCTTGTGCAGCCCTAATAAGTTCTTTCACCTCGTTTTTTGCCTTAGAAATAGTTTCGTTAATTTTTTCCATAGTTGATGCATCTGCAATTGTGTCTCCAATACCGATACTAAAACCATTCTGCAAAAGCCAATAGTTCACAAGCCATTGGGTATGTCCCAAGAACTTGCGAGCAGCGTCAGGGCCAACCTCCTCCCTGAACATGCGAACACAAAATGACAACAGAGTGTACTTTAGAAATTGTAAAATCAAATTAATAGAATCCAAGAATCATTTTCTACAATTTGAATTTTTAAAAACACACCAGATAACATGAATTAGACTTCCTGTAGAAGTGCCAAGNTGAACACAAATTGACAACAGAGTGTACTTTAAAAATTGTAAAATCAAATTAATAGAATCCAAGAATCATTTTCTACATTTTGAATTTTTAAAAACACACCAGATAACATGAATTAGACTTCCTGTAGAAGTGCCAAGGGTTTTCTTGCAAAGAGTGCCAGAAAGAACTTCCCCCCTTTCTATTCGAACATGAGTGTCTCCCGGAGTAATATGTCCAGTTTCGGTTTCTGCATGCCAAGCTGACGTCCTCAATAGATTTATCTGCTTGGGAATGATGAGATTAAAAACTTGTTTCCCTGTCCAAAGGGGTCTAGGCTTCAAGATTGCAGGTGCAGGTATTTTCCCATCAAAATCCTCCCACCACATCAAAATGTTCATGAAAACATCCTGCCAAAGTAAAATAATGGATCAGGTCTTTAGTCAAGTGTATTAAACGATCTCAATAAACAACTAACAAAANGAGATTTATCTGCTTGGGAATGATGAGATTAAAAACTTGCTTCCCTGTCCAAAGGGGTCTAGGCTTCAAGATTGCAGGTGCGGGTATTTTCCCATCAAAATCCTCCCACCACATCAAAATGTTCATGAAAACATCCTGCCAAAGTAAAACAATGGATCAGGTCTTTAGTCAAGTGTATTAAACGATCTCAATAAACAACTAACAAAAAATGCATTACCTTCTCAATGAAGGTGTCTCTCTTAGTGATCTTACGGCAACCTAAAAGGGTATCTTGCACAATACCCATGACTGGTCTATTTGATTGAGGAGACACGATGCATTTAGGTACCATCATCAACTCCAGAACTTCTGCTCTGGTTTCAAAAGACTGAGGTACATGCATGTTCATTTCATCTCCATCAAAATCCGCATTGTACGGGGAAGTGACGGACAAATTTAAGCGAAAGGTTGAGTATGGCATGATCTTGATTTTATGCCCCATGATAGACATCTTATGAAGACTGGGTTGACGGTTAAAGAGAACAAAGTCTCCATCATTTAAGTGTCGCTCCACCTGCAATAGCGAGAAGCATATTCAAGATGCAACTAAAATTAAACTACTCAACCATAACTACAAAACACAAAAAAAGGATGGTTGCCTTGTATCCGAGCTCCAGATGACAGTCACTACTTTTCTTCAAATAACGAAGATCAAGCCTCTGACCATCTTCTCTAATGATGTACCTGGCTCCAGTTTTCCCAGGGGGAGGATGAGGGCCATTTTCAACAAGCTCCTTTAGCCTGGCCAAAAATGATAATAATATTTATCGTAGGTACAACTGGAACCATAAAGAGTAAACTGCAGACAGTTTCTATACAAACTGAGACCTTTCAATATTATACGGAGTGACAGTTTCTGGATACGTCAAATTCAAAGCAATACTCCATGGAACTCCCAATTCATCAATGTTAATGGTTGGATCTGGGGTGATGACTGTCCGTGCTGAAAAATCGACCCGCTTACCCATCAAGTTACCCCTAATCCGACCCTCCTTAGCTTTAAGCCTACTGCAGATTGATTTAATAGGGCGGCCTGACCTCTGTGTAGCCTGAACAGTAGACAAAAACCCAAGTGAGGCCACATATCAATAGAAAAATCAAAATATAAGGGCTGGAAGATGCAGACATACCCTTGGCTGACCCGGAAGCTCATTGTCAAAATATGTAGCTACATGGAACTGCAACAATTGTGCAAATTCAGATATTATATGTGCAGGAGCCCCATTTCTCTCCTGTCTCCTCAGATTCTCATTATGCCTTATGATCATGGCCAACTGATGGGTCAAATCATCCTAAATCAACCAAAACAAGAAAAAAAAAAAATAGGGCATTAATTTTCAGCTTGGAATCTCCAACAGAAGCAGATTGCCTTAAAAAACTTCACATTTAAACCATATTACCCACACACAACCCTGTTTCGCGACTATGAACGACCATTTTACAAAAGCTTCGTGTATTAAGTCTCAAATTTCCAATCTTCANCCTTAAAAAACTTCACATTTAAACCATATTACCCACACACAACCCTGTTTCGCGACTATGAACGACCATTTTACAAAAGCTTCGTGTATTAAGTCTCAAATTTCCAATCTTCACAAAATTGAAAAATACTTATAGGCCATGGCATTCCACCAAAACCCCACAGTATCAGGACAACTTGTAGATTTAAGAGCAGGGCCCCTCGTAAAAGGAGTATAAGACCGCACAAAGGACTTGCCTCACTCCGTGCGGATGTATCCATCATCACCGAAGGTCTTACAGGAGGGGGAGGTATTGGGAGGACTTGCAAAATCATCCAATCTGGACGGGCAAACTTAGGATTCAAACCCAACAAAATGCAGTCTTCATCACTTATTCGCTTGAGGACATTAAGAACCTGTAATGTGGCATATACCATTACTATCAAATGTAGTAAGCCAGACACTGAGGTAAGGGATTGAAATGACAAATATAAAACTAGAAGCAATTCCCAAAGGAAATTGGGAAATATACAACTAGAAAAAATTCAAAATGGACTTACCCTTTCAGCAGAAAGCTGTTGTTTCCTTTCAACAGGTTCGGGAAGCTGTTCAGGGTCGTCACTTTTCTTTTTCTGAATCTTGTATTCAGCAATCATTTTCATACCTTCAATAGTAAGCTTTGGCTGCTGAGCACCACAACCCCCTCTACTCTTCTTAACTGGTTCATCAGTGTCTTGACCTTGGGACTCAATTTCATCACCACCTTCGCATTTGGTTTTGCTCTTGCAGCTATCTAAAATCTTTTTAAGCCTGTTTTTGGGATTTCTGATTTTCTGAGCCTGTTTAAATTTGTGATCCTCCTACAAATATAGAAACCGAATAATAAATTCAACCTGCAATGGTGTACGCTGGATGATGAACAAATGCGGGGCTCAGGTGACATGGCTTTTTTGATAATCAAGTTTATCAGATAGATCACCAATTAGAATGGATGACAAACACACTAAACGACTAAAAAGCTGAACAGATACAAAAACTTATAATCAAGGCCAGAAACTAGGGCGTTCTGGCCTCTTACTTAACTGAGGCGAACAAATTACCTCATCGGCAAGAATCTTGGAGCAATTGAAGCAAACACACCGCATAATACTGAGTACTGTTTTTATAAACCCAATATGGAACATGGGTTTGGCAAGCTCAAGGTGCCCAAAGTGTCCAGGACACTCTGCCATACTGGCCATACAGGTCTCGCACTTCATCTTCCGATCAATGGTACCCAGACGAGGATCGCTAAGGCCGCCAATCTTTGGCTTCCCTCTCTCCATCGTCTCACTGTGCTCGATATGCACCACCGACATTTGCCTCTGCAAAAAAATAAAAAAAAAACACATCACATATCACAATTTTCAAACCTTTGAAACCCTAACCATCCGATTGGCTGCAGATAAAATTTGAAAGAAAAACTTATAATATGTTGTGAATTGACTGTCGCAAAATTTCCAAGCTTCCTCATCCGATCAATTCTCCGCAACCAAAGAGAGTAGACAGAAAATGGATCAGTGGAGATAGATATAGAATCGGAAAAGAAATTACAATTTCATCGGGGCTGATGATGCCGAACTGAACAAAACGGACTTTGGAGACCTCCGCCGGCGAGTATGGAAATCGAATATCCATGGCTGCTTCAGATCGTACAAGATTTCAATAGATAGATCGAGAAAAAATAGGGTTTCCAAATAGTTCTATGACACCAATACAATTGTTGTTCTTTTTTTTTACAATTTTTACAAATTTCAAACCAAACGGCCATTATTCAGGTTGGTTCAAGAGGTAGTGAATTCATAGGTCGCACTCTCAAGCGTTCTCTGGATATAGATCGCAAGACTCTAAACAAAAACAAACCCTTTCGATGAGATGCATATTTATAGACCCTGCAACGGTGCCCTAGCGTGCTGCCCACGAACTTAGTTACTTTACCCGAAATACCNATGATTTTTTGTGATCCAAGTGTATGTTATCTTTATCGATTGATCTATAATTATGTTTCTCCAGTGAAAGCTGTGGATTCGAATGACTCTACGACGCACTAGAATTGAGGAGAAAAGATAGTTATCATTACGTTTTCCTATTCATCATTTGAATAGAATCAGTTGATTTTTTGACATTTTCGAGGTCAATCTTTGTCTTGATCCCAATAAGTTCAGATGAGGATGTGAGGATGTCCCTGGCGAACTCAATTGTGCATTTTGTATCTAAGGTGCTGTGTTTGTTTCTTTTAGTGGTCTATCGATTTGGTTGACTCCTCTTGTTCTTCTATTGATTAGAAAATCCAGTAGCACCACACCGGTTTAGANTTTTGTATCTAAGGTGCGGTGTTTTTTTCTTTTAGTGGTCTATAGATTTGGTTGACTCCTCTTGTTCTTCTATTGATTAGAAAATCCATTAGCACCACGCCGGTTTAGATTTTGATTATAAAGGCTATGGGGAGCCTTATTCTCCTTCAAACAGTGACATAATGGTTTGTTAGATTCACAGTAAGAGCTCTTTTATAATCCTATCAATCAATTTGACGATGAATTAGTTGTGGCCTTGGTCAATGAAGTCAATCTCCTATTTCTCTTGACCACAAAATGGCGGGACCGTGTCTAATATAAGAGATTGTCAATTGGGTATCAAATTCTTTGATTTAATTTCGCGATCAGATGAAATTGGAAAGGAAGGGAAACTAGAGGCCTATGAGGACGGCCTAACACAAACAAACTGAGGCCTAAATTGAGAATTTTATGAGACCTCAATTAATATTTTTAGAAAATAATAATTATTTTTTAACTATTGTTAGACGTTTTACAAAGAGTTGCAATATGATTTATTTTCAATGTTTTAATGCATTTGCGATGAGTGCGGGATCAAATAATAAATTGGGTGCAATTGTGAAAGTCAAGTTCTTATAAATAAATAAATTGAATGAAGTCTTAAAGAAACAACAAGAGAGATAGAGATGAGGGTTAAGAACCAGAGCAAGACAATGAAAATGTGAGAGAAAGAAAAAGTTAGGAAGAGGTGGTGAGAGGGGAAGAAAAAATAGTAAAAAATAATTTGAGATAGATTACTATTTTTAAAGTTAGAAATCATTACTTTTAAAATTTTTTAGAAGACTTTGTTATATTTTAGGACTTTTTATATATAAGGATTTACATAGACTGTGAAAAAGTTATTACATTTTAGGGCTTTGTATAAAGTTTTAAATAGATTTATAAAATATGTTAGGCCTTTAACTTGGTCTATTCAAAAGAGTCTCAAAATATGAAATTGAACGAAGGGTTAAAAATTAAATTAGGGCCTAGGAGACTAATTTAATGGTTAGGCCTACTATGCCTCCTCCCATTCAAATGATCGAACGGCTTGTGTATTTTGTAATAATTATAGTCTCTGTTTATGCTTCATTTTCGAGTCTTCGTCTATGAAACCAATTAAGTAAGATAAATTAATTAATGGATGACACGTAAAGATTAAATTTAATACATTTGTAACTCAATATTTTATGCATTTTTTTAATTTGTCAAAAATAATGTGTGGACCATTACAAAGTATTGTAAAGTTATTCAATATTACAACGTGTTGTCGTATAATTTTTCTTTTTAGTAATTTAGGCATTTAATATATAATAAACATTAAGTATGTGTCATTTCATACTCATACTATCTAAGTGCAATTGTGCAATAGTAAAATTCANACAATTGTGCACTTGAAACCCTATCACAATTTTTACCACGTAAGCATTGAGTCTATATCATTGGTATATGTCTATGGCCGGCTCATCAGGATTCAGGAGAGTCGAAAAAGTATGGTCTTTAAGCGCCGCACATAAAAGAGACTCTAAATTTTAATAAACTTTAAGTATAAATTAAAAATTAAAATTAATTATAATTTAGTTTAACAAAAAAATTTCTAAAATATTAAGTCAATAAAATAAAAGTTAGAATTTAGGTCTAAAAGTACAGTCCATATCATATATACACATTTATTAAAGGACAAAAAAAATGGTTAACACTTTAATAAAATAAGCTCCACACATAAAAGAGACCCTAAATTTTAAAGTTTAATAATTAAGTATAAATTAAAAATTAAAACTAATTATAATTTAGCTTCACAAAAAACCCTATCTAAGTGCAATTGTGCACTTGAAACACATCACATATCACAATTTTCAAACCTTNCCCTATCTAAGTGCAATTGTGCACTTGAAACACATCACATATCACAATTTTCAAACCTTTGAAACCCTAACCATCCGATTGGCTGCAGATAAAATTTGAAAGAAAAACTAATAATATGTTGTGAATTGACTGTCGCAAAATTTCCAAGCTTCCTCATCCGATCAATTCTCCGCAACCAAAGAGAGTAGACAGAAAATGGATCAGTGGAGATAGATATAGAATCGGAAAAGAAATTACAATTTCATCGGGGCTGATGATGCCGAACTGAACAAAACGGACTTTGGAGACCTCCGCCGGCGAGTATGGAAATCGAATATCCATGGCTGCTTCAGATCGTACAAGATTTCAATAGATAGATCGAGAAAAAATAGGGTTTCCAAATAGTTCTATGACACCAATACAATTGTTGTTCTTTTTTTTTACAATTTTTACAAATTTCAAACCAAACGGCCATTATTCAGGTTGGTTCAAGAGGTAGTGAATTCATAGGTCGCACTCTCAAGCGTTCTCTGGATATAGATCGCAAGACTCTAAACAAAAACAAACCCTTTCGATGAGATGCATATTTATAGACCCTGCAACGGTGCCCTAGCGTGCTTCCCACGAACTTAGTTACTTTACCCGAAATACCCCCCTATGGCGGCGTTGCCTTACAAAGTTATCCTGAATTTTGATCTCGTATATGAATTTAATTTTAATGAATTCGGGTAATTGATTTGTTAGATTTAATTAATGATTAATGTTACATGAATTTAAAAATTAAATTTAATAGTTAAAATTAAATAGATAATGGGTTTTAATAAATATTGAGACTTATAGTGAAATTAATTGTTGTAATTATCAAATTTATTTTTTAAGTTTAATTTTTAAATTCATGTTGTATCATTCTTAATTAATAAATTAATTGTGTATGAGTTAAATTATCTAATGACGGAATTAAATTAAGTCCTTGGTTAGATTCTTAAATTAAGGAGCAATGCTATTGAGACCTAATTTGTTGACTTAATTTGCTGACTTAATTCACTATAACATTTGGATTAACTATGGGCTCCATCAAATATTGGAACTCAGTGTTTATCCAATGGTTCCAATGAACTCACGTCATTAGATCAACAAATTATGTCAGATTTTTAGGTCCAAATAATATTTTCCTAAATTAAGTTCCTGATTAGATTTTTAAATTAAATTTTAGTAGTATTGTTCAAGTCAAAATATTCAGTACTTATATGTGAGTTGAGTTTAGCCAAAAAAATCTCAATAGGTTTAAATTCGAGTAATATTGGGATTGAAATTTTGGAATTTTTAGACCCAACTCAAACCAGTAGAAATTAGTGAATCCAAGTTTAATCCGAGTTGTACATGAATTTTAATTTAAGTTGTGTAATTTGAAAATCAAACTCGAATTCAATTCAATTTCAATCCGCTCAGTTTTTTGTTTAAATTATATCAAACCTAATATAAATCAATCTTTATCGATTGATTTATAATTATGCTTCTCCAGTGAAAGCTGTGGATTCGAATGACTCTACGACGCACTAGAATTGAGGAGAAGAAATAGTTACCATTACGTTTTCTTATTCATCATTTGAATAGAATCAGTTGATTTTTTGACATTTTCGAGGTCAATCTTTGTCTTGATCCCAATAAGTTCAGATGAGGATGTGAGGATGTCCCTGGCGAACTCAATTGTGCATTTTGTATCTAAGGTGCTGTGTTTGTTTCTTTTAGTGGTCTATCGATTTGGTTGACTCCTCTTGTTCTTCTATTGATTAGAAAATCCAGTAGCACCACACCGGTTTAGATTTTGATTATAAAGGCTATGGGGAGCCTTATTCTCCTTCAAACAGTGACAAAATGGTTTGTTAGATTCACAGTAAGAGCTCTTTTATAATCCTATCAATCAATTTGACGATGAATTAGTTGTGGCCTTGGTCAATGAAGTCAATCTCCTATTTCTCTTGACCACAAAATGGCGGGACCGTGTCTAATATAAGAGATTGTCAATTGGGTATCAAATTCTTTGATTTAATTTCGCGATCAGATGAAATTGGAAAGGAAGGGAAACTAGAGCTATGAGGACGGCCTAACACAAACTGATGAGAATTTTATGAGACCTCATTTAATATTTTTAGAAAATAATAATTATATTTTAACTATTGTTAGACGTTTTACGAAGAGTTGCAATATGATTTATTTTCAATGTTTAAATGCATTTGGGATGGGTGCGGGATCAGATAATAAATTGGGTGCAATTGTGAAAGTCAGGTTCTTATAAATAAATAAATTGAATGAAGTTTTAAAGAAACAACAAGAGAGATAGAGATGAGAGTTAAGAACCAGAGCAAAACAATGAAAGTGTGAGAAAAAGAAAAAGTTAGGAAGAGGTGGTGAGAGTGGAAGAAAAAATAGTGAAAAATAATTTGAGATAGATTACTATTTTTAAAGTTAGAAATCATTACT